TACAAAAAAACAAATCAATTCATATACGTTATGATCTCATAAATGAGTAAAGAATAAAACTATTTGGTAATGTGGCTTATCCTCCATCCGGCTAATTGCCATATGAGGCTAAATACCAAGGCCCATGGAGACAATTTCAGCTCACTAAAGAATATGAAAAATTATATATGAGAAATATAAGAAAAAAAACTACTTGTATCACAATATAGTAATTATGACATAGTCGCATCTTCTTAATCCTGACATAAATAATATAATAAATAACAAATTAAACGTGACATTATATAACTATTTTTTTTTGAAAAGTTATATAATCATTTAATACTCCATTTAAAAGTGCCATTTAAAAAAGGTTGAAAGAAAAAAAAAAACTTTTTTAAAAATGGGTCATTACAGAAATTTTTTTTTTTTTGAAAAAATAAAGTATATTGATTTTATTTGCAAACAAGGTATTATTCACATCAAATATTAAAAAAAAATCAAAATTTCAAAGTTTTCTCTATACTGTACTAAAAAACAAGCGAAAAAAATATAAATAATGTAAAGCTTGTAAAACTAGTTTTAGCTTCATTATTTTAATTTTTTAAAGTAATGAAGATAAAACTAGTAAAACTAACTAATCCTTATTCTTAAAGAATACTATTAGGAATATTTCCTGAATTTTTCAAGTAAATTGATGAATTTTATGCCGAGTTATAATGTTTGAAGTGAAGAAAAATAAAGAAATATTCAAAGTGTCATAAAACTCATATTATTATTACCAGTCATATTATTCATACGAGTAAAATTTGTAAATCTCCGCGAGGCCCTCTAAGCTCCGGGGCCCCCCCGGAGCTTAGAGGGCCTCGTTTATATATATATATGTATATATATATATATATACATATATATATATATACATATATATATATATATATATATATATATATATATATATATATATATATATATATATATATATATATATATATATATATATATATATATATATGTATATATATATATATGTATATATATATATATATATATATATATATATATATATACATATATATATATATATATATATATATATATATATATATATATATATATATATATATATATATATATATATATATATATATATATATATATATATATATATATATATATATATATATATATATATATATACATATATATATATTCACTTTTTTTGGCGATGACCCTAAAATTGCGATGAACCTTAATTTTTTTTTCGACTTTTTATCAAGTTTATAATCTTTAAAATATTAACCTATAAGGATAACAGTTTATATTATTATTTGAAATGTGAATCAGCTTGAGTTAGTAATGACTATAAAACTTTTATATTTTTGTTTATTGAATGAGACTCGTAGAAAAAATTTTATTAATTAATCATAAAATTTTTTTTTGCTATTAAATATATCATAAATGCATTTTGAAGCCAACCGGCAGGTATATGGCGCCAGATGATGCTCCTAATCTCTCTTACCCAGCTATAAAAATAATTTAATAATTATAAATTAATAATAAACTATAATATAACTTCCAATTATTTATAAGTATTTAGTAATGATTGTGGTATTTTTTAAAAATAGTACAATTTTGTAAAATTAGTGCAGAAGCGAGAATAGTGAGGAAGGTATATCTCATTGAGAAAAAATTCATCGCGAATAAAAGGGCTTCCCCTTACTTTTATTTTATATGGCATTTGGTGTTTAGCCTAAGCCTTTGAAATTTTGGGTTTTTTTACAGACATGTTAGGAGCAAACTTGAAAATCGATTAAAACTTTAGCTCGAAAACAAGAAAATCGCGCGAGTTTCATCTAAATTTTGCTTTAAAAAAAACTTATGGCGTTTTCTAAACATTTGTTTTTCTTTTTTTCTCTTAGTAATTAAAGCATAAAATATAAATATAAAGTTATAACCGAATCATATTAAATCTAACTCAATAATCTCAACGAGCATTCAATAAAGGATTTATTAGTTTCAAATTCAATTACAAGTGTGAAACTTAACAAATGCATTTTTGTTCTTTAAAAGCAAGCAAATAGAGTGCAAATAATTATACAATTATATATATATATATATATATATAAATCACAAATCTATACCACTATAATTACAAGAAATAGATTTCTATTTCTTGTGACTATGATATCACATAGTGTCTGATAAACATGCAGCATAATCGTTTGCGTGTAACAAATTTGTTTTTGTTTACCTTTTTTCTATGAATATTTTTTTTGTAACTATTTTCACTATAATATAGACTATATGATATATCATACAGACTATATAAGATAGATTATATGATATACAAGAAATAAGAAATATTTTTAGAAAAGTATTGCAACGAGAATTTAAGTTGTTGATTGAAAAGTTAAAAAAAATTACTTTTACTAATTAAATTCTTCGTTTTTTTTTTGATCACATGTAGTTAAAGTTTTAGTTTAATGTCATCAAAATTTTCTAATAATTATACAGTTCTCTAATTTAATATGATAAATCATATTAACACTTACTAAGTTTTATTATTATAACATTTTTACTAAGTTTCTAGCACCTTTTTTTTTTTAAGTTTTAAAATATTATAGCTCTAATGTATTTACCAAAGACAATGGTTAAATAGATAGCCAACTAGGTCATCAGGTCATCAAATATTAAAAACAATGTTTTTAAATGTCTTTAGAAGTATATTTTACTTGGTTTTTCCATTGCTTCTTTTCAATTCCTGAAGCAATTTTTTTTTTAATTTTTAAGATTTCTCGCAACTTTTTTATTGGTCAGATTTTTATTTTTGTACAAAATCTCTATAAATTAAATGGTAGTATTTTAAGCAATTTAACAATGCTGTAAATTTTATGAAATAATTTAGTTAAATTTAGTTCTGGGTAGACCTTGGACTCAGAAGGACTGTAAATTTGTGACTGTAAATTTGTGACTTTGTTGACTCCAAAAATTTTTTGTCTTTGCACAATATGTTGGTAGACATCCGGCCTTAATTTTGGAACATTTAGTAAAAAGAAAAGTTACTTTTTGAGTGAAAAGATATTTTTTTGGTTGATTGATGTAAATTTTTGATTCAAATGAGTTATTCAGATTCTAGTTGCAATCTCTGTCAGAGTTTGTGCTACTTTTTTTTTAGAACATACAATTAATTGCAGATGTTTGGAAATGTAAGTATATATAACCTAGAAATGTGTTTGTAACAATTTTTTCCAAATGAAATAGATTCCGAATAGACTGTTCAAAGTCTACCCCAATACTACAATCATATTTTGATTAGTAACAAACATTTTCACTTAAAAAACTAAGCCATATAAGATGTTCAAAAAATAATTTGAGCATCAACGAGAAGAGTGCTACTGTTAACAAATTAATATTCTTTGCTATCAATCAAGATTTTATAACCATTTATTTAACAAGCTTTACTAGCTTTACTTTACTAGCTGACTATTTAATTCAATGCTAAACAGTCTAATGCTAAAGTTACAACAAATTAGCTTTTAAATATGCAGCGAAGTCTAAAAAATCTTATTTACTAAACGTCATTCTAACATGTCTATTTGATCTTCTGGAGCTACAAGTTTCGCATAGAATGTTTCAATAATAGTTTTCAATATTTTAAAATAAACTTCAAGAAAATGTTATATGGTACAATTTCATCATCCTAGATTTATAATTTGGATGAAACTGAAGTAACCTCAGAGCAGCATGTATCTAAAGTCATAAGTCAAAAAGGTTAGCATCAAGTTAGTGAAGTGTCATCACAAAAAAAAAAAGAGTTGGTAACACAGATAGGAATCATAAGTGTGTCTGGCTATGTTTTATACTTAGTTTACCCTTCTGGCTGAAAGGTGGTACAACATTTTTCTTAAATCTTAAATTTCTGTTCTACAGAAAACAAAGCCTTGTTGACCATCTACAAACTTGAATCTTATTTATCTGTAAGTTTGTTGTATTACCACAAAAAATTTGAATTTGTTATTTTTTTATTGCCACATTGCCGTATTAAACAAGTTTCAACCTTTAAGCAGAAGTTATTTTGTTTTATTTGAGCTATTTAAGCATTTTTACAATACTGGTTATTCATACACCAACACATATAAAATCTAGATTTAGATGAAGTAGAATTTGCTTTTTTGATTAGTGTCACCCCTTCTATTCTATCTAGATAGTCAATGTATGCTTCAGTACATATATTGACTGACTATCTTATGTAGATATACAAGGGAGTGCTGCTACATCAACTGAGGGTTTGGGTTTGGGCAGCAATAAATTTTTTCATTATTCTTTAACTTTCCTTTTTTTTCTGAAATTTAAAATGCACTTTCTTCTTGTATATATTATCAATTATATATATAAATCAACCCTTGGAAATAGGAAAAATTAGGTTAGCAATTTATTGCCAACCTCATTTTTCCTGTTTGAGGTCGGCATTAGGTCAGCAAAAAATTTGGCATGAAGGTTAGCATAAAACGTAGAAATGATTATTTGCTGACCTCAAACACTTTAGGTCGGCATTGCCGAATTCCGACCTTAATTCAAAGGGCTGTGTGTATATATAATAGTTATAATAATAATAATGACTCTAACTGCTATTCTTCTGTATTTAAATTAGCACTCTCCTACTTTATTTTGCACAATTTAAGTTTGAAAATACAGATTTAAATTCTAGCAGTTAAAAAAAAATTAAAAAAATGAAGAATTTATAAAAAAGTATTTTTTGCTGTAATAAAAGTCCTTTCTTTTGCTGTAATAAAAGTTCTTACCTACTTAAACTAAAACCCTTAGTCGATGTATGCAATAAGGCCTCTGCAGCTCATTATTGTCCTGGTTTTTATGTAAAAGAAGGCAGCGCCAAACTAATTAAAATTAGTTTAGCATTTCGCTCTCCTACGTAAAAACAGGGACAATGGTCACCCTAGGTATGATGTCACCAATGAAATTTAATACTATGCTAAGTATGTAAAGATATATATTCAAATGAATATAATGTTTAAAATAAAAATAGGGTGTTTTATAAATTACTAATTTCTTTTAGTGATTACCTCAATATATAATTTAATGGAGGATGATAGTTGTTTTTTACATTTGTCTCCAGCTGTTACATCAAACAATGAATCAGGTATCTTTTCTCTCCTTTTCTACTCTTTCTTTTTATCTCACTCACTTCCTCTCACTTTCTCTCTCTCTCTCTACATATATGTATATATATATATATATATATGTAGATATATATATATATATATATATATATATATATATATGTAGATATATATATATATATATATATATATATATATATATATATATATATATATATATATATATATATATATATATATATATATATATATGTATATATATATATATATATATATATATATATATATATATATATATATATATATATATATATATATATATATATTTATTATAAAACAATGTATGTTATATATATACACACATATATATATACATACACATATATTGAAACACAATATAATATATATTAAAACACCTGATTATAAATTAAGCATGACATACTCTGTGGTGGTTTTATCCCGCTTCTTCTTAAAGTCAGTACTTGACTTTGCTTGCCTAAACTTCTTACTTGATTTGACTTTAATAATCGCCCATTATTGCTCAATTGGACGAAGTTCAGGACAATTTGCAGGATTGTATGTTCTAGATATGAAATTGATACTATTGGTATTGTAGAAGTTTAACGTGGATTTAGAGTAATGACAAGATGCTAGGTCAGGCCAAAAGATTGCATTACCATTAAGGGCGTTCCAAAGTGGCAATAAGCTTTTTAAGGCACTCTTTTTGATAGATTTCACTATTTATTGTGGAATTAGTGACGAAACTTTGTGTTTTTGTTCCACATTGACATATGGCTGGCCAAACTATAATTTTTTGGGGGAATTTTTTTAGTTTGATTGTTTTAAATTTAGCCTTTACCTTTTTCCTGGAGACTCCCATATAAAAATGATGTCCTGGAATCGTTTTGAAATTTAATTTCGCATAAGTTTCATCATCCATAATTATACTTTTTTTTTTCTTAAAAATATTTTAACTGAAATACTAATACATAGATAATTGTTTTTCTGTATGATAACATTATGTATGATTTTTTTAGCGTCCTAATTATAAGAAATAAAAATTGTCAATTTTACTTAACCCAACCTTTAAGTGTGTTGTTTATTTATGTAGATGTAATTGGAGGTCGTTCTCCAAAACTTTGTGGAATCCTCAAGACACCTAATTCATTCTCATCCCTAAATAACAAATCAATTACTTCTCTTTCGTTAAGTTCTGCAAAGAGAGTCACAATAAGTGTTGAAAAACAGTTGGATTCTCGTCGAAGATTGAGGTACTAAAATTTTTTTTTATAAATTTAAATTTTTTTTTTGGCATTTTATATATGGGTAATTCAGTATCAAATCAGCTGTTGCACTATGTTTTTGATTTTGCTAGTTTTCATATGTTAAAGAACATACGAGTATTTGAAAAAACATAATTTTTTTGTGAACATTTAAAACTGCTCAGGGTTCTGGAGATATTTGGGTTTCAATTTTGCAGATTTATGGTGAAGTTATTTTTTTAGATCTTTTAAAGGTCAACTATAAATTTTTTATAAGTGGTTTTTATAAGCATTCATTTTGTAAATATTTTGTTTTCTATCCCATTGTACTAAGCTTGTTTTCTTACACAGCTTTTGAAAGAATCATTCTTTTGCATAGCTTGTTATTAACAAGTGACGTTAGTAAGACAGCATTTGTTAACAGAATTTTTTTCTTTTTTAAACACAAATTAAATTTAAACTGCTTGAAAAATTTAATACATTTCCACATAAAGACGGTTTGTCTTCTTGTTTATAATGCAGTTCATGGTACTAAAAAGTAAAAATTTAAAGTTTATAGATATTGTGTTTCATTTTTGAACTACTATAAAAATGATTAGTATTTTAACTTAATTTCTAAATTATTTTAATTCAATTAACTTAATTAGTAGTTAGTATAATTAGTGTTTGATAATATATTTTTACCAATATTGCAATGACTACAACTTTTTATTAAAAAAAAAAGTGTTTGATAAGTAAACTTTGATAAATAAACTTTCATAATCTAAGTTGCATTGGTTACAAAAACTTTGAATCATCATTGAGTTTTTAATTTCCCTTCTTGCAATGATTTTAATTGATTTCCCTTTTTGCAATGACAAGTCTTTAGCAAAGTAAAATACTTAATGACAATTCTTTAATAATTTTTCAATTAATATTTTGAAATAAATTAATGACAATATTTTGAATACTAAAAAAGTTTTGAAATTGTAAAAAAACAGGTAAACAAAAACATAAATATCTGTGAAAGTCAAAGTTAAAGCAAATAAAAACATACACCAAAATTAAAAAACAAAAACCAAAAATATAAAAACTGCAAAAATAGCATATAAAAAAATTAAATATATTTTTTGTATATTAACATAAAATTTTAATTATAGATTTTATTTTTAAAAAAAGTTAAACTTTTCTGTACCTTATTTGATAATTATATTCTAATTTAAGGTAGTTATAAAATAATTTAAATTTTTTTAGAAGTTGTAAAATTATAAAAATAAGGCAGTTAAAAATTGACAACTATTTATTAGTCAGCTCTAATGATAAAGGACTGTGGAATTATAAAATGATACAAAAATAAATTTTATTTTAATAACATCTACGTTATTTACTGCTATTTATAACCAAATTTTTAAGTGAATATTTTTTATTAAACAGAAATAAAGATTAAAAAACCCTTAAAAAATAAGTTCACAATTGTTTTAAAACACTTACTTACATTAAATTATTTTTGCAGGTCATACTCTCCATATGGTTCAATCTGGTCTTCAAATATAAAGTGTGAGGAATTAATTCTAGTAGTATAATTACTTCAAGTTTATTATTTTACATTTTATTTTATGTTTTAAATTGCATTTGAATTAAATATAGAGCTCAGATCATAGCATACTACTTGTAATGCACTTTTAGTGTACTACTTATTGTGTACTACTCATATTGTGTACTACCTGTAGTGTACTACTTGTGTACTACCTGTAATGTACTACTTGTTGTGTAATACTTATAGTGTACTACTTGTTGTGCTCAACTTGTTTAGTACTACTTAAAGTGTACTACATGTAATATACTTGTTGTGTACTACTTACAGTGTACTACTTGTAGTGTACTACTTTTAGTGTACTACTTGTTGTGTACTATTTGTTGTGTACTACTACCTGTAGTGTACTACTTGTAGTTTGTTACTTGTAATTATTGTTTTGTTAACGCAACGATGCATAGAAAACATAAGTGAAATAAAATAAAATATTGCTTTGATGAGATTGGAATGCATAGAAAGGATAAGTGAAATAAACAAAGCATGAAATTGAAATAAACAAAGCTTGAAAGTGAAATAAAATAAACAAAAAAAGAAATAAGGACATAATGTTTTATTTTTTTAAAATAAATCAATCATTAATTGATTTGGAATCTGAAAAAATTGAGTTTTAAGATGGAAAAGTGTTTTTAAATATATTTTGAGAAAGGTCCTTAAATTAAATCTTTGCTGAAAATTTTAGCTTCATATCTTTATGCTACTCAAGAAGTAAGCAATTTCAAATTAAGTTAAAATTAATAATTATTTTTTAAATTAAAACATACTTTTATTAATTCTTTTAATCGTTTCTATAAGTAGTTATTTTTAAATTTTCTTTTTCAACACCGTTTTATCCATGCATTATTGTTAGATTTTCCAATTGCTAGAATCTTATGAAGAAAGAGTCCTTGAATCTGATGGAGAGAGCATCCTTTAACTAATAAAAGTAGTTTGTTGTATACCAAGGCTAAATGCCATAGATACCAATGCCATGATTATAAAACTGTTCTTAAGTTTCAAAATAACTAATTTCAGTACAAAGTATAAAGATTTTCAAGAAAATAACAAAAAGGTTTTAAAGTAATTTTTTTGTTTTGATTTGCCCTGAACTTTATTGCCCTGAACTGCCTATTAAAAAAAAGACAGCGTAAGAAGTCATTGTAATATTATGCAAATATTAAGAGGCACATAGTATCCAAGTAAATTAGGTGCAGAAGTTAACAAATAACATATTGCTAAAAATACTAGTATTTTCCATCCCAATAGTATCAGTCAAAAAATAGTATATATATAATAATAATACTTTATTCTGTTACACTGCTATAACAAAGGTACACTGCTATAACGAAGTTACACTGCTATAACGAAGTTAATTCTTATTTTTATACTTTAAATTAAACTTAACAAAGATACCAAAAAGAAGTTTATATTGACCTCTAGTCCATAATCATATCTTGGGGCCCAATCAAAATTTAGTAATTAAGATAGAAGAAGAAAGAATAAGGAAGTTGAGAATGAAGTTAGAGTTGTTAACTGGAAGATTTCGTACAATTCTGGTAAATTAAATTTTTTTTGGAAGGATATTGAGAATAAGGATTTTTTTTTTTTGTACCAAATTTACGAAACAAAAAATAAAGCGTTGATATTCATTTTGCAAATGCTACTTACAAAATGTAGCCTTTCGTAAGTTGAATTTTTTTTTTTTTTCTTTTTTTTATTCACCTCCTCAAGGCCGAGAAGGCCACTACAGACGAGGAGGCTACTTAATAGTGGTTATAACCCTCTCTCAACTCTATAACTCTGAAACACGAACCACTACACCACTACCGCGGTAGTGGTGTAGTGGTATAATAAATAGAAAACATTGTAATGACTGACAATCTGAAATCTGCTTAGTTTTTGCATTTGAGATTGAAACTTTAGTATTTGGAATAAATTGCACATGAAAAAAATAATTTAAGTTTTAAATTCTATTCTTATAATTAGTAATAAACTAATTTTACGAAAAAAATAGGATTTAGCTTTTGTAGAATTAGACAGAAGCGAGCGTGTTCCGTAAACCCATGAACATTTAGCAATGCTATTTAACAATGATTATGTGCAGTGGTTATAATAATGGTAACTCATCAAATTTTGCTTTGAAGGAGTTGACGCAGATAGCACTGAAAACTTCAATAGGTAGTGCGTTTGATGGGTTCGCTTCAACTTCTTTAACTATACAGTTGTTAAAGAAGTTTTTTTTTAGTTTTTTATTTTAATTCACCTCCTCAAGGCCGAGAAGGCCACTACAGACGAGGAGGCTACTTATTTGTGGCTATAACCTTCTCTCAACTCTATAACTCTGAAACACGAACCTTGACGAACAAGGCCGCTGCGCGGAGAAACGAGTTGAGCGCGGTACTACCAGGGACGTGGTAGGGATCGAACTCGGAACCACTCATTTATGAAGCGAGCGCTCTACCACTACACCACTACCGCATGTAGTGTAGTAGCATGAATTATGAAATAAAATTATTTTGCTACATATGAAAGTAGCGCTTACAGAAGTCGAACTTGCGAGCTCTTTTGCTAAACAACGTTTTAAAGTCTATAAAAAAATTTTGTTAGCGGAACGGATATAAATGTAAAAAATAAAATTTTTATATACCAAAATGTTTATAATAAAATTTTATTTTCAATATTGCAACATATGAACACTTTAAGATTTTATTTTTTAAAATAATGAAATAAAACCAAATTTCTTTCGAAACGAAACTTTTTTGCACTGCATATTGTCAAACAGTTCTTAATGGGAGAAAAACTTACAAAATGTGGCATAATAAATATATTTAATTACGTTTTATGAATCAAATACATATAATTAACTTAGTAATTAAAATACTAATTTTTTATATGATATTAATATATTTCAGTTTTAAACTTTTATAAAAAAAATCAAGACTTTCATAAAATATACTTTTGTCATTTGATGCATAAGAATTAAATGAAGATAACGTGAACAACGTTAACATACAAATGCAATTGCGTAATCGGGAAACAATTTTTTTGTTGAAATCAAAAAAAGATCTACTTTAAGTAATGAATGCTAAAACTTAGTTATATATAAAAATGCTTATAAGTATCTCTTACTTGTTTTCAAATAAAACTAGATTTTATGTTTAGTCAGTTTCACTTTTTTTATTTTTGAGGTGCTCTGTTATAAAAGCTTTCGATTTTATTACCTCAATAGCAACAATTAAATTTTAAATACATCCTTTTCAATGATTTTTTCTAAAATGTTTTCTTTTTTTAAAATAAAAAAAGGTGGCCAGGACTATACAAGCGCTGAAAGTTTCAGAGCTGTAGCTATCTGAAAGGTAGTGATAAATTAATTGCAAAATTCAGTAAGAACTGACAACACCCAAACAACACTTAAAGTTCATTTAAACTTTGTAATTGAACTAAATATTTTTACTAATTTTTATATATGAGAATATAAATAGTAAACCTCCATTTCTGCTAAGCCAAAGACAATAAACAACCGAAAGTGGGAAGTAAACCAAAGTCGGTACTTGATAAATACAAGTATATATAAACACTAGCATAGAGACATGTTGCGGAGGGAGCATTGCCCTTACCCTCAAAACTAACTCAAAGTTTCAGTTATTTCTATTTAAATTTTAGCTGCGTTAGGTCCCCTTAATTTCTGTTTTAGCCCCCCCCACCTTCCCATCCTATCTTTCTTAACCTTTCTATGTCTGTCTATATATATATATATATATATATATATATATATATATATATATATATATATATATATATATATATATATATATATATATATATATATATATATATATATATATATATATATATATATATATATATATATATATATATAAACTATTGAAGAATCATTTAACAACATTATTTTATTTAAATAATAAATAATAACATTTTTTTGTATAACAGTTTAATGAATGTTTTTGAGTCTATTCCGCAAGCGCACATTCCAAAACACTCCTTCCGTAAGGAACTGTTTCGCAAGTATTCTTTTGAAATGATTTGTTTGGCAATTTTCTTTTCGTAAAGGATTATTATGGAATTATTATTTATTTTTATTTTTTTTTGTATAATGCGTTACGGAAGGTGAATTTGCCCATGCACAACTTCCATAACAGCAACTTGAAATATGGAATATAAAAATGCGAAATTTTCGTAAGTTTTTATTTACGGTAAACAACCCTAGTAGATAATAAAATTTAGTAATTAAGATAGAGCAAGAAATATAGAAAGGTAGAAGAAAAAATTTTAATTGTTAAAATTTTAATTTTGATTCCCTAGTAAAACTCTCTTTATCTAAATAAGAAAATTACTCATTTAATAAAAACTTTCTTTTAAATACAGTAGTAGAATAGTGGTTCACAATCGAGAGGTTCTATGAAGTCCTCTGTAAGTCTTATACTCAACTTGTTTCTTCGTGGACCTTGTTTAATAAGGTGATTTTTGGAGTTCAGGTTTGAGAGTTTCAAATAAAACCAATTAAAAAAATGTTTTGTCTCCTTGACCTTAAGAGCTAGGGAGGTGAGTTTAAAAAAAAGTAAATCTAAACAGATTATGCTCCTCTTGTTCTATTAACTTTATCATTATTACAGAAAGGTTATAATTCTTGTCCTACTATTAACTTTATCATTATTACAGAAAGGTTATAATTCTTGTCCTACTATTAACTTTATCATTATTACAGAAAGGTTATAATTCTTGCCCTACTATTAACTTTATCATTATTACAGAAAGGTTATAATTCTTTATCAAATGTAATTATGAAAGGTTATAATCTGTTATTATGATAAACAAGTCAACAGTATTAAAAAGTCAGCATCGTGTATTTGATGGATGCAGTGTAAATGTATTAGACCTGCTCTTTTTGTTAAGTTTGAACCTGAGTCCCATCATCATAGAGTTATCATTTCTTGTTTCAAAAACCAAAATTCTGTTTCACATATTTTATCATTCAACTAAGTTACATTCTTTTACTGTAACTGTTTCTTCATGCTAAAAAAAAGTTTTTTTTTGTGTATTTTTTTAAATTAAACATTGGTGCTTTGGAACTCGATTTTTATGCTTTACTGGCCCATACAATTTATAGTTTTTAAAGCTTTCTGTTAACTGATTTCTTGCACTTTAACTTTTTTCTCTGTTTTCTGTTAACTTTCAACTGGTTGCTTAGCAGCCTTGCTTAGAGTGAACTTGTTTACTTCCGACTGGTTGCCTTACTAGGAGTAAATTTATTAATTTTCAACTGGTTGTTTGCAGCCTTGTTAGAAGTGAACATGTTAAAAAAAATTACAAGCAAATTATCCTTAACAAAATAACTAGAAATAAGGAGGTAAATAATGTAGAGTTGCTAATTATGTTATTACCCAGAAATATGAAAATCATTTGTAGTGCTTGAACACAGTGGTTGGTTTAAATCTTAAATTAAATCAAGTCTTTTCGAAACATTTAGAAAAACATTTCTAAAACATTTGTAGTTGTCTGCAGCCTTGTTTAAAATGAATTAAAATATATATACATATATAAATAAAAACATAAATGTTTAGTTTTCATTACTTTTAGTTCAAAGATTCATCAATTTAATTAAAAATAACATATTAACAAAGTCTCATTGTTCTAATTTTGAAAAGAATTTAAGTTAATATAAAATTTAAAAATATAAGAGAAAAAAACACCTGCCTCACTAGCAAAAAGTAAACTTTAAAACAGGTGGTACTGTATTTTTTTCAACACTCAATATGTTTCTATTAAATACAAATGAAATCTTTATAAAAATTAGTGGAAATTAAAGTTTTTATTTAGAGTTTTTAATTAGAATTATTTTCAGTATTATCTAGTCAATATAAATCTATAATGCTATATATATGTGTTATAATATTACAATATAACCACACATTTATGTTTATTTTATTTTGTCAATTTTATTGTAGCTTACTCGCGTAGAAGACGTAGGGTAAAATTTAACTTTTAAACTGATTGTTTTTGTTATTTGTTACTGTTTAAGTTTATTTAATTTTTTAAAGTCTTTCTTTGTTTGTTAAAATATATTTACCTTTTATTTTAAAGTTAAATAACCTTTCATTGGAAGCATTACTTGATCAAGATGTGTTGTCGCAATGGTGTGAAGATATGGCAACACCACCAAAATGTTAGTTGATATTAAATAACATTTATCATTGATAAATTTTTTGTTAAGCTATAAATGTTAATACTTAATTCCCTGCACCTAAAGTATTTGTTTCTTAGATTCCATACTTTACTATTACCATGGGAAATATAATTAATAATTAGTCTTCAAAAAATAATTTTTTTAAATAAATCTTTCCAACATGTGGAATAACTTCATTGTGTACATTCAAAAATTATTTTTGCATGTGGAATAATTCTCTCCTGTATGTGGAACCACATAAAACACTATGTGGGTATTCCAAGGTTAAATTATCTATATTTTTTACTATTTTGTAAAATTGGATTAGGTCATTACAGTCGCCTCTTTTTTCAAGATTCGTTAATTTAAAGTAGATTAGTCACGTTTCATAGTTATTCCCTTGAAGTCATTTTGTTTGTGTTGCTTTATGTTGTAATATTTTTTGTCTCATTCTAAGTAAGGATACCACACTGAAATTGCATAGTATAGATACGGTCTTACAAGAGGGGTATACAATAGTTTAGACGTGTCCATGTCTAAGTTTTTAAATCATAAATTCTAAATCTTTCTCAATTTCGTTTTCTCGAAGTTCAACACTGTATTTTATACCAAATCATACATTGGGTATATATACTTAGTATTTTTGCTACCTATATGCATGTATTTACATTTGCTAACACTAAATTTTAATAGCGATAATTTTGAACATATCATTAAATTATTTAGATCTGTTTGAGTATATTCTATATCAAAAGATGATCTAATCATGTTAAATAGTTTTATAAATTTTACACTTAGTTGATAACTCGTTTGGTGAGTCATTTATATAAACAGTACACATAAACAGATCCAAGACAGAGCTTTGCAGCACTCACTTGTAGCTGGATACCAATTTGAAAATTCACCTTTGCAGACAACACTTTGTACTCTGTTACATTCAAAATATCTACACCATTATTATATGATATAAAATCAGGATGCTCTAATAATTTTTCTTTCTTATTGAAAATTAAACAGAAATTAAATGTATGAAATATCTTATTTATAAATTTATTTGATTTTAATCTATTTTTTATGTTTATTATTATTATTATTATTATTATTATTATTATTATTATTATTATTATTATTATTATTATTATTATTTATATATTCACTATCAATTTTAAAAGGTAATCAAAATATCTTTTCCAAGAATATAAGTAATAAAGAAAGTAAAAAGGTATTTATGTTTTTAATTTTTGTATTATTTTATTAAGTATTTTGAAATTTAAGAACTGCTTATATAATTTTATTTTTTGGTAGAATGTGGCAAGAGTTTTGTTTGATGTCACAAATGTCGATAGTTTAAAAGCATCTGACTCGATTATAAGTCTAAACACAGAATTTGACTATCCATATATATCATCATCTCCAACACTGTTTCAAGACATGACAAAAAATAAAAATTGTTCCCTACTTGATTTAGATAGTAATAATTCTTTATACGTGTCAATGGAGCATGACAAAGAAAACAACTGGATTTCTTCCCCAACAATGGTTTTTGAAAAGGAGGATAAATATAGGACAAATAGTCCTGGGACAAAATATAGGACAAATACATCAGTTTCTTTAACATCTTTAACTCATTCAATAAATGTCGAAGATAGTGACAAATTAAATTATAAATTAAAAAGAAAATTTTCTTTAAACGAAAACTTAAAAAAGGATATACTAAAAATTGATAATGAAAATTGCTTTCTGTCACCTGCAGTTACAACCAAGCAAAAAAAATCTCAGAAAATCTCTTATGAAATGAAAAGTAGATCCCAGTCTACTCCAATTGAAAAAAAAAAATCTCAAGAATCTCAAATTAAAGAATCTCTAATTAAAGAATCTCTAATGAATCCTTTTTATAACCTGAACGTCAGTAATCCCGATATTATGTTGTCTCAGGACTTTGCTCTGACTTGTTTTAATCAAAATGATGAAAGTTATATCAAAAAGCTTGAAAAACATAAAAGAAACGAATCTTATTTAAATTTGACCAATGAAATATTTAGTCACTCTTCTAATGATAGATTGTTGAACAATTCAATAAATGATGAAAAACAATTTTTATCCCCTCCAATGATTGGTGGTTTTAAATCTAATTCTCAGTTTTCAGGAATCTGGAATTACTCTGATTTTTATGAAACACTTACGAACAAAGTTGATTTAATTACAGATTTTAATGAGTCGAGCCCAATTCTTCACGCTAAAATTTCAGCCAACCAGAGTGTTTATGTTAATAAAACTCAATCTTTTGAAAATGAAAATGTAACTCCCAGTTCACAAGAACTTGTAAAAAGAGAAAAATATCCATGCTCAGTGACTATTCATAAAAATAATATGGCATACTCTTTAGATTCCTCCATTAAATCAATTTGTACAGACAAAAATTACATTTTTGTACCACCAGTAATACAATCTTGCACAGTTGTTAACCAGACAATAGAACAGCCTTGCTTAAATCAAACAACATTACTTAACAACTTGGTACAAAATAATAATA